CCAAAGATGATCTTCAGGCATACAACTAACAGTGCTGGTGTACTTTCCGGTCTAACTCATCCTGTAATAATATACATATATGCTTATGATCATTATCTTGTTAGAAAATAAATTCTTTTTTAATTATTCTTGTATAGGAGATCAAAGTATGTTTTGCTATAATTGTATTTTTACTAAATCTCAAACCCCGCTACCATCAAATCTTCTGACAAAAATTCTTCGGCTGGAGCCAAAAACTTCAAACTTTGTTTCGTAGGCACAATTTTTCAACTATCCATTGTCCAACCCTTGCGATTTCTAGCTCATTCCAATCTTTTCACTTTATTAACAACCCGCAGCAAAGAACTTTTAACGGCTATTCCCCCGTTTTAAGGACCAATTTCCAAAAGTCCCCGCTTGTCTTTCCATACCATTTAACTGGTATATTTGTAGTTTTGCTATTCTAATTGTCAAACGACCAGAATTTTGTTGGGTCCTGCTCTATCATGTTTTCTGTATCTTCAATAAACGTTTCAGATTCCAATTTTTGGCGTTCCGTCTTATTTCTCTTTTTCACATTTTAATCATATAGTTATCACTGATCAAGTGATCACTCAACATTACTAAATACTCATCTACTTTCACTAACAAACAACTGCGTTTTCTAATGAACTTGGCAGCTATTGTTTCTCTATTAGATAGATAATACTTAAAAAAAAAATAGGCAAAAATATTAAAAATTTACTTTAACCTAGTAGGTACTCTGTTAAAGATGTTTGGCAGAAATGTAAAATAAATCTTTCAGAACAGCAACATTGTAATGCATTTTTTTAAATCACATTTGGCTAAATATTGACTTAACAAGACTATATAAAAAATAGTTACGTGTAATAATGAAAGATTACTAAAAATTTAAAAATCAATGATAATGATAGGTATGTATAATAAGATAACAACATGCTGGTGGAAACTGATAGCTTTGGTTCTGTTTCAATATTTAACTGAGATTTATACAATACGTAGCAAAAAATGTGACTTCGAAAGATTAAGCTGGTAAAAAGGACCAACGTTACACCTTTAATTTATGTATAAAACGTGGATACGTGAAACATGAAAAGTGTAATAAATTTGAGTTTGCTCCATTGTGTTAATTCAGTTGCGGGAATTTGAGCAATAAAACGGAACTTTTATAAATTTGTATCATTTTTGTTAGCTAAAAAACATTGTTTCTTTTAAACGAACATTTTGGTTTAGACAGGCAGCTGCTTTATAATTTATTTTTCCAGTTGCGTATACTTATAAATAACAGATTATTGAGTTGAAAGATGAACTCATTTTTTTTTTTTAACAACGATGGAAAGTGAAATCATTATTCCAAGACTTCTGTTTCGTACTATATTTGTTATATTTTAACATGGAAAATATAATTCTTAAGCAGAGATAGTAACTACAGTTTAAAAACTTTACTGATGTATGTGCAAGGGAGCTTTTAAATTTTTTGTTTGTAATATCTGGACGTCTTTATTTTTAAATTTTATCATACAAATATATAATTTTCGTGATTTCATATTTTGTTAATTATAAATAAATTATATCTCGGTATCTCTTTGAAGAAATGAATTTATTCATGATAATTTACGTTGCTGATTACATTAAAAATTATTATTGCATTTGTTTCTATTATTGAGCTTTTCAAAGATGAAGATCATACACAAGCACATAATCAAGCGTCAAGGTAAGGTTAAATGTAAGTAATATGTTACATAGTTTTGATATCATCCAGCTTCTTATTTTGATTAAAGAAACGCAAGACACTACAGTATCAAATTCTCTCGTAATTTACAAATTAGGAACGGATAAGTTAGCAGTCGTAACTTTGCTGCAGTGTTCGAATGTGCACCAGCTATTACTGTTTTATGGCAAGTGTACAGTATTTAATTTAACGACAACAATCACATTTCTAAACAGCTGCCGTTAATGTGAATCTACTGCATTTTATTTTTAACATGGATTAAATAATCAGCAACTGGTAAATAACGAATGAAACTTTTGCTACAAAGGCAACTAAAAATATGTAGATCTATTTTATGAAAAATAATAATTTTCTCTTGACTAATAATATGCTTCAATAATAAAATACATGTTTGAAAACTATTTTAGTCAATCATTTGTTGAATGCAAAACTTTTTCCCTAAGGGACCGCAGAGGAAATTAGCTTCCAACTTTGTAGAATCTACAACCACGTGACTTTGCTATGGCATAAACCCTAAAAAACGAATTTCAGTTATGTGAGTGCACGTGTTGAATTATTAGATACAAAATGAGCTATCCTTAAATTATCAATATTACTGTCAGACGTGGCTCGTGATCTCGTAAATTTGAAAGTGCTGCTACATTATAAACAGGATGGGGCTTTGGGCATAAATATTTATTCCTCAAAACTGTTGATGAAACTCATTCATATTAGGCTCTTTTATAAAATAGCGTTGGCTTAAGCCTTAAACATTTCAAAATTTGCAATAAAATATTCATTTTTAATTTACCCGTTATGACTGACGCCACTTGAAGGTACAAACTGAAGTAAGAAACGTATTAATTTACTCATTTCAAGGGAGCAACTTTTGTTGTCAGTTCGGGCTTTTAAACTCGGGTTGATAAATTGAGGATTATTTATTATTATGATCAGTGCGGCAAATACAATCGAAGTTGCAGTGGATTAATAAATAATTACAAGTACAGTTTTTAATTCTAAATTTTGAAATATTAAACCAAAATTATTAGTTACAAAAATATATTTTATAAAGGTCGGTTTAAAGAGCTTTACTAAAAGTTCATTCGACGAAGCAGAAAAAAACAAAATGAATGTAGATATAAATTTAACTCTGAAGTCTTCAGAACGGATCAAAATATTGACATCCAAATTTCTGTTATACTGCGTAAGAGTGTACGTAATTGAATTAAATAAAATAAGCCCATTTTATGTTTTGTAGGATTTTTTTTTTTAGGTATTATCACTTTGATGAACTGTTTTACTATACGACAGATTGAAAATACTAAGTAAATTGTACCATTATTAATTCTTCGTCCATCAAAGGAGGAAACAGACCGTATAATTTATTTGACAAGTAATACGTTATCATATTAGGTTTGTTAAGCATAACAGTTTAATTATAAGTTAGGATACGACGTCCATTGAGTTTAATTTCTAAGTTTTCGTTAAGATTTAAAATAAAACTCCAGGAATATATTTTTTTCATGACCAAACTATTTAAGACCAAAAATAAATCACTAAAATGCATTTCCACTTACGATATTTGTCTTTTTTTATATAATTCATTTCGGTTTGAATAAACATTTTGTAATAGGTTTTTTACGCAACAATTTCTCTTTAATTAAAGGCTAAAGTGGTAAAACAGAGATCGGGATAAGCTGATCTCCAGAAATCGTCTTGTTATCTGGACCCGCGACGCAGCTATATTTATGTTTATGTTCTTTTCTTTTTGCCTGCTATTCTAGTATATGTTGTAAATAACAAAATTATACGGTAAAACTCAAGAGACTTACACTTTATGATGATAAGAGTGTAATGAAATTAAGAAAATTTTGAACTTTACCTCGTTAAAAAATGGTCAAATAATTTCAGGAAATGTGGGAGGGGAAATGAAATTACTTCTTGAATATTAAACATTTATTGAATTTGCAAAATATGGAAATTATTTCAGATTTGATGAATTTCTAATTTGGTTAATGAAGATGGAGTTATTCATTACTGTCGGATCATGTGACTTTATCTAATTATGCAGGCGACGGCAGTGTGGCACAGCTTGTTTGAAAATTTGTATGCTATGCTCTAAAGGATAGTTTAATGAAAATTTGTAAAGTTAACTCAAGCCGGTGGTAAAGCAATAAATAACATCCCTCGAAGGGCCTCTGTGAAAGGATTTATACGTGCTCGGAAATCACCGTGTGGTGTTGGTAATAATAGTGTTAAGTAATGAGAATGTTATATTCATACGTTCTGAACACCACACTGACTGAGTTGTTGATATTCATCTACAATATAGTAACCTTATATACACCACAATGAATATGTGATTTTTTTTCTCTTATACGATGTAGATAATTATTTAACTTACCTCGCTTAATAAATCTAGGTAAATAAAAAACTATGTATTTTTTTAGCCATGACACTGTAAAGTTACACCTGAAGTAAAACAAATCGTGAAATTTCGTGATCTGTAAATCACAAACAGTAGTTGATACATTTTTTTAATATAGATAAATCTAGAAATCATAACATGGAATGTAGTCTAACAAGTAACAATCAACATAATTTTAAGGTAATTCGATTGGTATAACCGACAAAATAAATTAGTAGGCACATTTATTGATTGAAAAGACAAAACTGGTACTAAGATTGAATTCTAGATTCTATTTTCAAAAAACGAGTTTTTTGTCTTATAAAACTGTTGTAATTTTTATATTTTTTTAAGATAACCACTATACGTACATACGTTAATAGTAATGATGAACTATTAAAAGTGGCACTTTATCGACCTAAGTATATAATATTAATAATCTTAATGTACACGTAGCGAAAATTTTACAAAGCAGTAAGCACTTAAGCTCTTAAGCAGGGTTTAATAAAAATATTGTCGGGAGATAAAAACTGATTAATAAAAATTAGATCTTATTTTATCAAATGTAGCTTGTATCGTTATTCACGTGGTTATACCCAAATTGCTAAAGAATTGTCCTTTGTCTACATAACGAATGTTGACGCTGCCCTGCTTTGTGGAATTTAAATTATCTTCCGCCTAAATGAAGGAAATCTTAAGAATTCCTGGTATTTTAATATAAATTATCGTGCCTTGCTTTAACTAACGAGTTTTAAGTAGTTGCTTGTAAATTAAAGAAAAAACGATTCATTCGACAGCTTTTGTAACATTGCCAAAGAGTGAATCGTTTGAAATAGCTTTAGATATTAATTTTTTTATCGATTTATTTTGTTGTCTGCCCAGGTAGATGAAGGCATCGAGGCGATGCTGTGCTGCTGGCTACAGCAACTCCAGGAGTTTGGTGGCCCTGAAGTGGATAAACCGGACTTATTACAAGGCTCCGGGGCATCGGTGAAAACACCATTACGTGGAGGGTCCAGCCCGAATCTGGCAAAACAGCTCATTGTGGACCCTAGAGTCCGATATAACGTATGTATTTCAGTGTTTTATGCATGCAAGTTGTGGTTGGTGTGTTGTCTCCAATCGTTCTTCCGTCAGATAATAATCTGGTACATAAGGTCAAAATGCCAATGATTAATACAAATATATGTATTTTTATTTTTACGGTGTATTTTCCGCTTTATTGTGAAAATAGATTGGATTTATTCAACCCTGCTAAACGAATTTTTGTGGAACAACTCACAAAAATTGTTTACAATTTCGACGTACGTGTGGTAAATCAATTAGCAGAGAAAATAGTACAAGTGTAGTGATGAAAAATGAAATAAAATGAGCGTCCAGGTCTGCTGGATTGCTGGAAATCGCTTGCATGTGTTATTCATTAATGTGCTTAAATAAAGGGTTAAAACGAGCGCAGGGAGCTCTCTAAAGTGAACGAAACTCGTAATTTTCTACGTCAGAAATAGTAAATTTGTTACTGTAAAAGTACTAAGCCATATATTTAGTATCATGTGGCATAGAGGTGCAATTAATACTACGATAATCGTCGAAATTGCTTAATATATTTAGAACAATTCAACTGTTAACATCCACCTTTATATATTAATCAGAAGAAAGTGTTAATTAGTTAGTTCGATAACACTCATTGGCAAAAACTCAGACTGTGCTTGCTGTGGCATTTCGTAACCCCTGGAATATAAGAATGTGTGTAAACGACACTTCCACAGTGTGCTAAAAGTATTACCTTTTCTCTGAATCGAATAAGATTACTAAGATAAATTGGTTGTACTTTCCGTTCTTATTAAATTCAGCGCCACGCTTTTTTCAGGAAATGTTGTTCCACAATCTCTGTTATTACAAAGTGTGAGTAAAGCTGGTGGGTTTTGTACTATTCTATAATATTTTCTTTTCTGAGAAAAAACCGATGTTGATAACTTTAACGCTTAGGCCTATTTTGTAAGTCAGTTCTGTTAATTGTTAAAAATTACTGCTCAACGTACCTGAAAAACACATGCTGTAATATATTTGATCATAAACTGAAAATTAAAAAATGGTTAAAACGCGTATTTTAACGGAAACGTCTACTCATAAAGTAATGTTGTGCAACGGAAGATTAAAAATCATATTTAACGGATGGTTAATTTAAGGAAAGTATTAATTTCCGTTTTGCTCAAAAATAATAAGAGAAAAGTGTGTTCATTTGGAATAGATCTTTTCCGCAACGTATAAGTTACGAGTTAAAATTACAAAAAAGTTTTACGGGACATGTTATTCACATTAATCATATAAATTGTATGCATTTAGAATGAATATAAAATATAATAGCAATTTATTTAATATCAACACTACATATTTCATAATCAAAAAGTAATAGAATAAAATGCTGATAAAATTAATAGATTTGTTGTAGAAAGGATCCTATAATCAGTCGCTCGAACTTTAGCAAACTGATATTAAAAATATACTGTCAGATAATTTGCAAACTTCAAAATCATATGTATATATAGGTATGCAGTTTATATTGAAGTATGTTATTTCAACACGAGACATATAAGGATAGATAATGTTAAACAAAACTGGTATTTTTCAGGGATAATGAGAAACTGAAATTGAATTCGACATATTATTATATATAAATGAACATGGGTGTGAATAACCCCTGAAGTTGATGTTATTTATATGATTGAATTCGAAATAACTTTTGCCTAGCAAGTTTATAAATTTAATGTTGCCATAGTCAAAAAATCATATATTTTTTTAAAAACAAAGTTGTTTTGAATTTCTCCGCCAAATTTTTTCTTGCATGTGTAAGTACATATCAGGTGTTGACCCTATATTTTTATATACGCGAATAAGTAATATGTCAAATATCACACACGGTAAGAAAGGTACAGTGGAGTCTGTCAAATAACGAAAATTGACTTTCTCTTTATTGGAAAATACGAATAAAGCGCTTAGGAAATATGATAATTTAAAGCCCTAATCTCATTTCCGATTTTTTGCCTGAAGAGAACACAGGTTCTAGGACTGGGATGTGCATGAACACATTTTAGGTTATATTATAATGGTCAACGATGTTCGGGCAAGCAACCCAAAATCAGGTAAGCGTTGTAATTCATCACCACTATAATGCCGAGCAGTTTATAGGGAGCTTTTAACAACCACTTTTAGAAACAGAAAGTCAATATTCATTATTTGGCGAACTCTCCTTTAGCTGTAATGTCTGGACATTTAATGTAGCCTCAACCATGTATACTGCAAAATAGTTAAAAATAAGCGCCACTATGGTGACACTGTTTGTTATCAAAATCTATGCATGAAAATAATGGATCGAGATATATGTACTCGTATCTCTATATCGTTCACAGATTTCTCCTATTTTCAGTTGTAGTACTCGTAGTTAAAAATACTGCGCGTTGACTTCGTTGACAACTTGGACCAATTAAAACTTGCTAAGAGATACCAATGTTATTCTTATTTCGCACGGTTTTTGTGCTAGACTATAAATATATCCCTTTTTCCGCACATGATGTGTTAAATAAATGGTTCCAATAGAAACGATAAGCACGAAAAAATCGGGAGGCAGAATAGATATTTGTTTTATATCAAACAGTCTCTCACATACATTGTATTTATTGTTAGTTTTGTGTTTCACATAAAACACAAACTTGTAAATTTATAATACAAGTTGCGAAAAGATTAATAATGGTTTTTTATTACCTGAGCGTAAGCTAAAAAGGTACAGCAATCGATGCCATCAGTTTCATGTTTTCTCGGCGATATTTATTAGAGAAGTAATCTCCGAATCTACTAGACCGATTCTTGGCAAATTTTGTGTGTATATTAGGAATATCATGTATATGGTAAAACGTTAACCAAAATTTGGCTAATTATCCCCACCATCAATGCGATAACGTCATTTTCAAAATTTACAGTCATTTTTTTTTAATTTTATAAAACAAGATACTCGTTCACTTCTGATGTAGGAATCCGTGTTGAGTTTTCACTCTAGACGTTCAGATTTTTGGAAATAAAAATCAAAACTGCATAACAACATTTTGTAATTTAACTTTGAAACTGCAAAACCGAATGTCCTGAAATCTTACAAACGTTTAAACTTATCGTAATAATGGTAAATTGTTAACCAAAATGTATTCGTTTCTCCCCTCCCAAAAAATTGATGACGTTATCTCAAAATTTTGCCTAATATATTTTCTATGAAAAATATAAAATATTCTGACTCTACGTATACTTGTGGTTTATCAATGCACTCAGTTTTTGAAATGCTTGTAAGAGTTGACTCAAAAAAAAAAATCAATGAAGCAATTTATTGTATTGATTAAAACAAGAAGGACTCACCCCATTTTTCCGAAAAATTGGAAATGCAGTACTATTATTATTAGTATTACACTACATCTATCCAAATTGATATACATTTTTGCAAAAATGTTGATGACGTCATCATAAAATTTTGTAATGGAAAAACTTACCTGAAACAAACGCGTAGCACGCTTCTTTACCTTTACTTTAACATTGCATACATATCTTTATTTTGACTTATAAGAGTTATCATGAAAAAATAAAATTCCAAAACCAAGTTTTATAATTTTTGGAAGAAGCTGGATTTGTTCTACTGTAGTTCAGGAGCGAGGGGTGTTGTATCGAAATAAATTTCGACCAATTTTTTTGTTTCATGGTTTAAAAATATATTATAGTAGGAACAACAAGAATGTTTATACCGACAGAACTTCGCTCGCGCTTGAAATATAAGTCCTACAAATCCTGTTTCTTTGAAAAATATAAAATTAGATTTTGCGATGTTTGTTCTGTGATCAACTCTATGAAGTAAAAACCAGTGCATTAATATAGCACCCCCACAGCCCCTGCGTCGTGGGGGCGTAAATTCCAAGGGGACGCCCCAGGGGGATCCAGATTCTTAGGGATCTCTCAAGCTGTTATTTATTTGGGACCTCTTTTTTTCCTGTTATAAATAGAAATTCGTTAGAAAATTTAACTTACATATTGTCACTACTTTAATTTATGTAGAAAAAAAAAACAAGAAAGTAGAAGGTTGAGGTGTAAAAAAACTGTTCATGTTTAAAGTTAAGTTTCCATTTTTAACTGCCACAGAGATATTGTTTGCGCTCAGATATATTATTTAATCTAATACCTAATGAATAACCTGTAGTGTTAATTTTGAACAAAACCAAGATAATTATCCCAATACCGTAAGCTCTATTGATTTCAATAAGGATAGTTCCACACAAAATTAATTATGCAAGTGGATTTTTTAATGTTTAACAAACTGTAAGATTCACTAATAAATGGGTAGAGGGTACCGCATAGTTTTGAAATTACTGAACGAAAAAAAAGGCAAAGTAAGAATGAGAAACGGTATTGAAAACAATATATAAACGTCCAACGGAGGGAGCCTTTTATGTATGTGGCTGACTGGCTACAAGTCATAAATTACTGGAGCGGCCGGAAGTTGCCAGTTTTGCATTTTGTACAATCTCGAGATCATGTGTCAACAAACGCTCAGACGAAGACGAAATTGTATTTTAGTAAATAACCAAATTACAAACAAATAAAATTAATTTTCCTTTTATTATTATTTTCCCCAGAAGAGGAAAGGAGGCCTAATAAAAGTCCGGACAGACGACAAACAAACAGACAGACAGAAACGGGACACCTATTTCCTCGTACTCTATGGGTTATTGTATTTTGTATACTATTCACAATTGTTTTAAAGAGCTTTTAAAAAATAACCCAAAAATTAACGTTTGTAACTTGACAAGCATTATAATTTTTACGTTTTAGGTTAGAAAGTAACATTCACTTCTTTCTCAAGGATGGAAAGTGATAGATAAGTGACATATGTCACTTTCCACTCTTGATATGCAAGCGAAATATGTAATAGCTCATTTTCAAACTTTTTTTATGTTTGACTCAACCATAACGATGTGATTTATGACACTTCCAACTGTCCATCATCTACCACTTTATTGGACTGTAAAGTAATTTGGACT